CTACCGGTTGGCAAACAGAGACTACACTTGCATGTGAATCTGTGCCATCGATAGCATGTAAAGACTCACAACACACCTTACAATATATTATGAACTATTGAAAAATTACAGTAAAACATATAACATTTTGATATTCTTTCTATTCGACAGGCAGGCGAAACGGAGCCCAGGCATAGCGTTTTAGCAGACAAATTGATAGAGATTGTCTGTGTCAGTCTGATTGTGTATGTGTGTAACAGCACGGGCACGAGCTTGTATTTGCGTGAATAGTGTGCCTATATAGGCACTATCGTTTGTAGTAAAGTTAGGTGCATTTATCTGAAACAACCTCCGCGACATCGCTGCTACAATATACAGCGCACAATGCGCTACATTATGTTTTTATACACCGCAAGTCCTCGCTAAATTTACCGAGACCCTGCAGAGGTGTCGCTAAAGTTGTTAGCTAAATAACGAATAACTTTTGCGAACGGAGCTTTGTGAAACACGCGCGGACGTGTTCTTCGCTATTTACCGATCAGCTTTGAAAATAGCAAAGGAAAAATAGCGAACGAACGTTAGTGAAACGCCCCCCTGGTAGAATATTACAGGTAGCATTTATAAGGTGCAAAAAGTGAAATGGGTAGGATGATGCAGATGGCAGAAGAGGAAAGCTGCAGCATGTAGAATCAGCTAGGCCTAAAAAAAGACGTTTGTTTTCGCTAACGAGCTGAAAAAAATAGACATGGTTGGCAAAACTTTTTTTATCAAATATTGTTTATTATTTGTTGTATTCTAACAATACTTGTTTCATACGTATACCAGCCCATATAGTGACTTCAAAGTCAAATCAATGCATTCACCGATCGATATCACGTTGGTTTTTATTACGGTTTAAAATGGACTCGGTTGGGTTAGCGGAAACAAACGTCTTTATTTTTTAGGCCTAAGTATAACTGGGAATGAGCATGGTGTGGCGCCTGCCACATGCAGGCTGTAGCTGGCTGTATGGAGCAAGCAGTAGGTGTGTGGTTGGTTACAACATGTAAACACTACAGGCCTGGCTGTGGGTAAATGCTTGGCTGGTATATTTCCAGGTTTGTCGTGGAGCTGTGTGATCCCATACAGCTGAAGCTTCTCGAGATGGCCAACTATGAACTGTTCTCCTCTTTGCCAGAGAAGTTCCAGGTCTACACAAGTGACAGGTAGGAAAGCTACGCCACTATGAAAAAAACATTGAAGCCAAACATTACTGTTACACTAAATTACCCTAATCCTAACCCTAACCTTATTATTGTGCCGCTAAATCTACGAGTGAGGGGGTCGTAAACCGACTATCTCACGAATAAACTGGAAAATTGCATGCGTGTATACAAATTGGGGCTCACCTATTAGCAGACTTTTTACTGTTTACTCCGGCACAACAATCACCACAAATATATGTTGTTATAGGCTATAAAACAGCTGATGAACAGCAAACATGGGTCCTGCTATCTTCAGATTCGCAATAATGGAATGTTCAAACGGTCCCACAAAACAATTGCACCGCCGCCAGGGCCCGATTTAGGAGTGGGCAGAGTGGGCAGCTGCCCACGGGCCTCCACAAACCAGGCCTCCACAACGGGGCCTCCACATATTTGATTCAACAAAAATTTGTTAATGAAAAATATAGGCTGACCTGAATGACATGCACACAACCCGTATCAATAAAAACCAAACCGTTACTGTGCGCATTTTACATCTTACATACGTAAAACATAGCGGCATAACCCATATTGTATTTGTTTGTGAATGGGATAGTCAACTACAGGGGGAAACGTACCAACGGTTCAACGTAGCCAATATTCTCTCTCTTATTGCAGTTAACTTTTTTATGGCATTATAACAAATGATGGCTGCCCACGGGCCTCCACATATGTCTAAATCGGTCATGTGACGCAAATATTTATAGACGGGTACCTATCTCGAGATGTATACAAAGATATCTAGCCTAGTGGAGAGACAGCAGTCTGGTCTCGCGAGAGCAAAAATCACGCACTAGGTTTGTTGACATATGTAAACGATCTCATTTGAAATGCAGATCGGTGCACATATTGGTGGAAAGAATGTTGTGCGAGTGTTCTGTGACATGTTAGCCTTTCTATGTACATTTGGTGTTATGTGAGGAGTATTGGTAAGTATCAGAACTGGTGAGAAAATATTAAAACAGTTGAGCAACAGGTAAAAACACAAAATCCTCGCTTTAAAGAAACCTACAGGGATAATAGAATGTGAAAAAAGCGCAGCGTGGTGAGCAAAAGTTATGGAAGCTATGTGAGAAGCTGTTTTTACACGTGCAATAGCAACCGGTCCACGGGTAATGAATCTTATAGACAGCAATTAACGGAAGATTGAGCAGCATTAGCAAAACAAGCCCCGGCATAATACGGGTGTTGCTATCCCCCGGGCATGGAGGGAGGTCACGTGATAACGTTGACGATGACGTTCAAAACGTTAACCCTAACGGTAACCCTCACTCCAACACCGCCAACACTAACCCTCACACTAAATATATATGTCTCGCCGCGCTATATATAGGCATTGTGATCCACAAAAATTAATCTGGTGTGGGGACAGATATCATGATGCAAAAACCTTAACCCTATAACCCTAATCCTAACCCTAACCCTAATCCTAACTAATATTCCTAACCCTCACCCTGACTGTTAATGTTAGCCCTAACCCTCACCCTAACCCTAATCCTAACACTATCCCAACACTCGTGCTGCCACGTTGCGGTCACCTCCCTCCACGCCCGGGGGATAGCATTACCCGCATAATACCCTCCAGCAATCCTTTCCCGCTTCTGTAGTATGATGCCCCCTCTATGCTTGCCCAGGCTTGTTCACATTCAAACCTATATATCAGTGTGAAATGCAAGCAAAGGAAACTCAAGAGTGTCCATTATATAGATGTAGTATCACTGTATATCTGCCACTCAAAGTGTGTTTTTCATAGCTGAGTGTTTGTGGCATGGAGATCGAGATACTATCTAACTGCCATTTAAAAGAGATGCCACAAATGACCTTCATGGACAGGTGTCTGTTGTACAGGGGTGTCCGCTAACGCGGGTTTCATCGTGTTTATCTCGCCTCGCGCAGGTACCCGACGAGGGACTGGCACAATGTGGGCGTGTTCACGGGCAAAGACGTGCGTAACCTGCAGGCGTTTCCCACAGACGAGCAGGTCTTTGCCAAGTACATCAAGATCGAGATGCTCTCCCACTTTGGCAGCGAGCATTACTGCCCCCTGAGCATTCTAAGGTGATGATGGATTGCAGGACGCCCACACCCGGTTGCTCATGCGAGGCATGCGTATCGGGTTGGCGATCGTTTATAATGGAGCGAAAGTGAATAGCTGAGGGGCTGTTTTTGCGAAAGACAGCGGGATGGATATCTAGCGTTTGTTCCGAAGCTTATCGTACAGTTAATGTTACAGGGGTTCCGTTGCAAGTTAAGAACTTCTGCTTGTGAGGTGTGAACATGTATGTTTGCAGAGCTGTAAATTTGTTATCCCGATGGGTTTCGTCAGTCTAATCAGTACTTTATCTCCTACAGAGTTTATGGCGTCACCATGTTTGGTGAATATGAGGATACCGAGGCAGGTAGCGTGGCTGGGGCGCCAGGCGACCAGACAGGCATCGACACAGGAGGGCTGGCATCGGATGCCCTTGACTCTGACCTGATGAATGACAGTGGACCGGATCTACTGCAGGCTGGCAAAGGTTTGTTGTCTGACCTAGCAGTAGAATGCATTCAAAATTTTCCTGAGGGTACAATAGGAAATATAGATTACACGAATGCGCATTCAGAATGATGCTATAGGGCTATAAAACCAAAAGAGAGGTGGGGCAGAGATAGTAACTTGGCCATAAATTACGAGAGTGGTATCAATGCGTTCCCATCTCTCGATATCTAGTCATGATGATTAAGGTATTTCCATGTATCACAGTTAGTTTTCACGAAACACTAGTTTTATAATTAGCTAAACGGTAGGGGGATGTTTATGTTATATTGTGATTATGATTACATATATTATCAAGAGTGAATAAAAACTACTGATATTATGACAATAATATTATATAAAATGGTAAAATGATATTACGAGTGATGTGATTATAATATTGAATAATTTTTGCAGGTCTAGTTCAAAAGTTGATCAACAAGGTAGTCCATGTATTCAACGCAGACAGTGGTTATAACAGGACGGAAGACTTATCTAGTATCCAGCAGAAGAACATATCTAATAATGGAACTGTGGCAGATACCCGGTAGGTTCAATATTTTCGGCTTTTATCGAAATATTTATTATAGAAATTTTATCTATTAATCTGAAAGTCCTTAACTTGTGTTTAATTAACTTTAATGTGTCGACTGATGTTTGTGATGTGCGTGTGTGCGGAAGGGGGAGGATATCGGGGTGAAACAATTTTTTCAACATGTTTTTTGTGCAATTATTTTCACCTGTTTTTAAATCTAAACATTTGTTAAATCTCCCGTCTAGGCTGCTGAATGTGATAGTTATGCGAAACGATAGCGACGGGGAGATTCTCTGTGTGGACCAGATGACCAACATGTACGACGCGTGCACAATGTGCAGCACATACGTAGATGGCAGCACCACGACAGAGACGGGCACCAGGACGACGTGCGGCTTTCTGAAGACGCTCGACCTCGCTCTCCATCACCGCTGCCGGCCGGGCATCTCCTGTCGATTCCCGCGCAAACCCCCACGCCGCGGCGCTACCTACTCCGGCGCGGACGACACCGAGATACGTACGGGAAGCGGCAAGGCGGTCGCCGTAGAGACGGAAACTCAGGCAGCGGGGTCTGCGGACAGCGGCGGGTCGTCTGCGATTCACGCGGCGAGCGAAAACGGTCGCTCGACGACGGAAGTGCCGGCGACTGAGACGCAAGACGCGAGACCGGGCGATTCGAACCTAGCGTCGACGCCGCACGTGACCACGTCGCCGACGGCAACCACACTCGCCGCATCGAGTGCTCGCGAAGTGACGGTCGATGGAGGAAGGAAGGACGAAGGCGGCGGTGCTGCTGCTGACCGGGCGCCTGTGATAGATGCTGATGTGCCTCATGTGGCCAGTAATGAGTCGGGCAGTGTGCCCACCGCCGCACACCACATCGCCACCATAGACGCTACGAAACACGATGAGCCAGCCGGCAATGCAACCGCGCCAGCCGTAACGGATGAGGCGAAGGGTGCGCCAACTGGTTTTGGCGCAGGCTACCCGAACGGAGAGTCGAACGGGGCGTTGACAAACGCGAAGGAGTCCGTCATCATGCGGCTGAGTAACAGGTAACAAGGTTACGCGCGCGCAGCTCTATTGCTGTGTGGTTTGTAGTCACATTGCTTTCAAATACAAATATGCGTTTTGCTGTGCTATTGTTGTGGTTGTTGCTGCTGCTGCTGCTGCTGCTGCTGCTGCTGCTGCTGCTGCTGCTGCTGCTATTACTGCTGCTGCTGCTACTACTACTACTGCTACTATTGCTACTGCTACTACTATTACTACTAGTATTACTACTTCTGCCACTGTGCAGCTACTACTGCTACCGCTAACTGCGACCCCAGCCTCTTGCTGCTGGTGCTGCTGCTGCTGCTGCTGTTACTACTACACGGATGCAGTAACTTTGGCACATGTTTGCAGGATTAAAACTACTGCTGCTGCTGCTGTCTCTGCTGTTGCCGCTGCTGTTACTGCTGCTGCTGCTGCTGCTGCTGTTACTACTACGTAGATGCAGTAACTTTGCTGCCTGTTTACAGGATCAAAACGCTGGAGCTGAACATGTCTCTGAGCAGTGAATACCTGGAGACGCTGAGCCAGCGATATCGCAAGCAAATGGAGCAGATGCAGAAGGCATTCAACACGACGACTACGGCTCTGCTCAACACGTCGCGCAAGGCCGAGGAGCGAGTGAGTGCACCTCCCTTCAGCCACGCTAGCGTCTCTTCCAACAAACTTACTCCCAGACTATCGACCGCAGCCCTGCTCCTAAATCTACAGACTTCAAGCTAGAATATTTTCCGTCCCATAAACTATGGAACTCTGACCTCTCTAAGATCTGCTCCTTTTATATACAGACTGCTATCTCTAATGTTTTCTCCAGTTAATTATGGACACCTCATCTGTCTAATGTCTGCTCTCTATCTAATATACAAACCCTTGCCTTCTCGAATATTCCTTCCTATAAACTAAGTACCCATCTTACCTGTAACAACCCTGTCTCCAAACTGCTGGGCCCAGTCTAATCAAATGCTTCCTATCAAACCACGTTCCCTTGACTAAACCATGAATCTGCTGATCCCTAACTAATATTACCCTGAACCATTCGCCGGTAACACCTCACGTGATTCCCCAACCCAATAAAACAACAGCCGGTATTACCATTTCACGCGAGAATCCCTTAAATTTGTCTCTAACTGAGGTTTGTTCTGCAGGACCTGAGGCAGCAAGAGGCGATTGCTGTTCTCCAGGGACAGCTAGATGAGCTAACGAAGGTGGTGACGAGCCTCGTTGATGAACGCCAGTCCCTTCACCAACAGGTGCTGACATCTAGCGGTCTAACATTGCAACATGCACCAGTTATTTTAACATTATTATTATATACGTATTAATGTTTATGCAGATTACTTATTTTATCATATATAAATAGATTTTGCCGAGCCCATGTCAGTAAAACACCAGCAGGTAGGCATTAACTGCCTCATCATAGGCCTGCCCCCGGAGTTCATTTCAGAGAAGCAGTATTGTAAATAAATATTCTTTACCGGACAACGAACGAATCGAGCTACGCAGACGTCTTGTGCGTGTCGCTGAGAGATGTTCTTGTGTTTCAGGTGATAGAACGCCATCTGTTTTTGATGGGCGTCGAAATCATCGTCATGAGCCTGCTGATGAGCTTCTGTCTTCGCTGGCAGCGACACAGGGCAAACGCGATGCCGGCCCAGAAACGCCACCAGGTGGCGCGCAACAGCACGACGCGACGCCATTCAGCAACGATGGCCTGTTCCACCCCATCACGTCAAACTCTCAAGCGACAGTCCAGCGATAACACTCTTAACCTTTCAGGTATTGATACTTAGTTGGTCCGCAATAAGCTATGTAACGGCTAATGATTAACCTAATTACGACTAAATACCTCATTAGGTGGCCACTGCTGTAGTTAGCGGTTATACGGGGGTTAAGAACGTGTATTGTATGTTTTCAGTATAGTTCTACTTAACAGACGTCACAGGTGTTGTGAAGCATTGTGTATGTTTTATAATTAACTTTGCTTAGCCTGTGCTCGACACCGGTCCCAGGAGCAGTTCAGACTACTACAATTTTAATGGCTGGTTTTAGCACTCTGTTGTCACTGTAGTAAAATCGTGAGGGTGATCATTGGGCATATAAAACTTCCAAAATTGTTGACATTATAGGATCTGCATAACTTAATGGGGTTCAACCAATTCAGTTAACTTTATTCTTATTTGAAACCGAAGCAGATTCTGGTAGCAGTTCAGCATCGTACAACTACAGTCAGCTGTACAGTGACAAGGTACTGAAAATGCCGCTGATTTCAGCATCGTGAAGACGGTCAGGGGTGTCGGTGACATGCGTGACGATTGACATGACGGGTTGAGACGCATGATTTCAGGTGGATGATTGGTGCCGACAAACACAAACGGCAGGAGAAGACTGCAGCCTTGTAGGGTTGTGGCGCATGCATGGGTTGATTGTGTCATGTTTCCTGGTGACAGTGCTGTGCTTGTAGCTGTTGGTTGGAATACGTGGGGCGATTGCTTGTGTCGTGCATGTGTTGATTGTGTACGTGTGCGTAGCTTATGCACTGTGTTTGTTCTAGGCCAAGGGTATGAGGATCTGATGATCATTGAACCCTTCGTGCAGGAAGCCGATGATCAGGTATTTGCTACTTGCTCAAAGGTTACCATTGTAATATCAATATTGTTCTCATCAAATTCCATTGTATATATATATATATATATATATACGTGCATACATGCACGAATTGTTTAACAAAATATAATCAAATGGAAGGTAGCCAAAAACAGATATTCATGTCGTCCTTAAACTTCTAGTTTAGAAAAAAATATCAGTTTGTGACAAGTAATTTCTGTTAACTAAACTGTTGATGTATCTACTTGTATGTATTCTGAATAAGCCGACAGTGGAGTTGACGTAAATGTGGATAGATTCATTGGTGCGTTGCTGATACACGATCTCTCTTGCAGAACGCACCCGGCGGATTGAAAAAGCGAAAGCGGCGAAACAAGAGCAAGAAGAAGTCTCAGTCGTCACAAAATCTGCACGAGGCGACCGGCGGGGCGGCGGTGACGGGGGGATTGCGACGTAGCTCCATGTCTTCCGCGTCGTCCGGCAGCAGCGGCGGTGGCATGAACAGCGCGGGGCTGCTGTTTGGCACGCAGCACACCGCGCGCGAACCTCGCGTGCAGGTCATCTACGAGCGCATGAAGGACGACGCGGCGGCGCCCTCTGCCCGCGCCTCGAACCACGCGATGCAGAACGGCATCGTAGCGTCGCACGCAGGCGGCGGCAGGCATACAAAGAAACAACAGCAGCAGCGAATCATGGATGATGTAAAGCCCAGCCGCGCCACGAACGCCTGCCGCTTTAGATTTTTGTAGCGATCGTCTCGGGGGAGTGGTGCCTTCCACGAGCGGGCTCGCGCGCTTGCTTGCGCGCACATACAGTATTCCGTTAGTTGTGATAACGTCGTCAACCCTGACGAGACAGTCGGTTAGCGCGTGTTCTTATTGACTTGATTGATTTTTTTTTCTCGCTTATAATGCTCTGACCAAGACCGTAGTGCGAACATGGTTTGGCCATGCCATGCAGGCACTACTAAAGAACTCTTGTGGGAGGATAGCTGGTTGCACTGTTTAGTGTATGAGTAAACGATGTGTTGCTTGTGTATCCTGGTGTGAGGCCCGGCTTATTTTTTAAGTATTTTCGAAGATTTCTCACTGGGTATGTAGCTGCTGGTTGAACTGGACATATTGCAATTGGGTCTTGGAAGGTTCATCAAGTTACATGCAGTAGGCTAACGAGGTGCCTTGATTTTCAAGCAGAAAGCCCTACACGCCTTCTCTTTCAGACAAAGCTGTCACACAGAGAGATACGTTGTTTACTCGGCTCTCATAAGTTATTGTTTTGGTGTGTTGATGTATTATTGGTACTGCCATTTGCATACTACCGCATCAACGTATTTCGTCTGTAAATCTAGATGTTTTTTTTCTCGTGTTTTGCAAGTATTAATCGTATGTAGTGTTATCAGAAGTACATGAATAGAGAGAATCCTGGTGTGATCATCTGACGTTGATGCTACTTGAAATTTGTCATTCTCAGCAAAATTACTCTCCTGCGCTTATTCCTGCTTATAAGTTTCTAGTGTTGCTGTGCGTCTTTCCAAGTAACAACGAAGTATCAGGGGTGTGACTATAAGTGTGATGCCCCAGTGTTGTGTGTGTGTGTGGTATAGAGTCTGTTTATCATTTAGAATCTCTGTACACAACTCGTTATCTCACCTTCTATAAGCGGAGATGCTGTTTCGAAAGATACGGAAAGCTCTATGATCGATGCACGGGTGTGATACGCAAGTGTTGTAATTTTATTTATTTTCGTTGTGCCATTCGAGTGTAAAGTTGAGTGCAAGTGACAAGTTTGAAAGCAATTGATGCCAAGAGTTTCTAATAATAAATTTACCAGGTAGGTAAAAACACATTGTTTGGATATTTATTTAATTGTTATAATTCAATGCTACAACATACACAAATGCTATAACATTATATCGATCACTATATTCTAATTAATAATAATAATCTATTATTATTCACTCCTGATACTATCACTAGGCAAAATAGTAAAAAGCCATGACAGTTTAAACAGCATAAAACCGACGAATATATAATATATATATTAATAAAGATATTTTATTTATATATTTTTTATATTGATATGTGACAATGATGCAGCATTTACCCGTGAAATACTTTGTATATATGACCGCACGATAACATTTGCATTGAAATAACTATAAGATGTATGGCGTTATACATGTGTATAACAGTAGTGACGTCAACTAAAAGCAGGCACACTTTCCACTGCTGCAGTGAAAATATCTACAATGAAGTCTTTGTTTCAGGTCTAAATAACTAACAGGATTTATCAGAAAAATATACACTGAGCTGTTCCAAAAAAATATTTAATTTCCAAGTTATATTTTAGAATCATACAATATATACTATATCAAGATCTCTCAGAAAATTGCATAAAAATTGAGTATAACAACTTGTAAGAATCATTACATACACATATAGACATATGCACATGGATGTATATATATATATATATATATATATTCAAATCTATTGATTTATTATAAATTATTAAGTAATAATATTAACATGCTGTCTAATTACAAGATATAAATTTGTTCAGCAATGAACTCACTGCAAGCTCCATGTCATTATATATAACATTAAGCCAAGTAAAATCCAGAGAGACATGATACAAGATTGCGTGGCACAGCTTTGCTGTTGATCCTGAGCGCTGCGCGGATGAGACGCGCCTGCGCGCGGATGAGATGCGCCTGCGCGCGGATGAGATGCGCCTGCGCGCGGATGAGATGCGCAGTTCCGCGGGATATGCTCACGTGACCGAGGGAATGTTCAAGTATGAAGCGCTGTCTGCAGTGGAGACGTGCGCCAAATTCGAGGCCCGTCGCACGTCTCCACAGCGGTCAGCGGATGGTCTGTAGTTTTAGAAGATAACAATGAAGACTTTGTTCTAAATAAGAACTATCGGAGGCTAAATAAGATCAATATACAGACCTTTGAATTTCTTGACTAGTCAGTCAAAGGGCTTGTTGGGGGTCCATTATGCAGAGCTTCCAATTGAAATGGACCATGAAATTATCAAGTGGAATTGTGTTTTTCGGTACCCCAAAGAAAATGTCTCCCTCTTACATGCACCCCCTCCCTGATCAATCACGCATTCAGGCGTCAACAATAACAGAGATGAAATTGTGTCGAGTTTGTGGCTCTTGACGCACGTGCATTGACGTACAAGACTGTTGAAAGCACAGGCACTTGGAACGTCTCATTAAAAATAAATATTCACACAATTTTTCACAATGATCGACCGCCTGTGTGCAAAATAGGTGAACGTATGTGAAAAATATACGGTTAGTTCTTACTGTGACATATCCGTGACTAACTGACACTACTAAATTGGTAATCGGCATGATGGCATCATGGCCGCATCACGTCTAGATGCAATCTCCCACCATAATTGCAAATACTTCTGGTTTTCTTAATTTATTCAGTTTAGACTAAATGTCTAACCAGTGGCTAACCATATATCGAACCAGTGTCTAAAGACATCAAGACCTATTCTTACAATTTCTAAAAATGTCTATAGCTACAGTCACCCCTATAATCGTGATTAGATCATCTTATACTTGCATGGCCACTCAGGGCAGGGTGTGTGACAATTAAAAGATGATTTAAAGCAAGTTCAATACATTCTTCAGTGCGAAAATCTATGAGACTACAGCGCTACCATTCGGTCCATCGATACATTCCTTGATGGCAGCACAGAGCGCAGATATACCACCAAGCAGCCGATCTGCACTATAGTGAGAAATGCAGAGGCGCATGCAGTTCTCAAATCTGTCACCAGGTGCTGCACTTTGGTCTGAACAAAACCTACAGTATAGAGGTGTATGAAGTACTAGGAATAAGAAATGATATAAAAATGCACTAGTGTGTACCGAATTACAATATTGAGTCACAATATTATTCATTACTTAAACAAAGTCATTATTAATATTGGGCTAATTGAATTTACACCTTTTAAATAACAAAAAACCTACTTCAAATACATAGTGTCAAGTACAATATCAAACAAGAGTGAATTCCTGTAAACGGATCTGTAGTTGAACATTTAAATTTAATTTTGAACTATTCACCGCGATTCTAAGAAACATGCGCCAGTAGTATACCGATTTGAATTACCTGTCTCCACGTGCAAAACTGACTCTGTACTTTTCCTGTGCCCTATCCCTGAATTTGCTGCAGTGTATGCCTTCTGGAAGTGTCACCCAAATGAAATATCCTCCCTAAATCCAGCAACAAACATCAGTTCAATACTATTGCATCACTATTCGACTGTTAAATCATTACAATTACTACGAGGACTACCACTGGCGTTTACCACCTTCACAATGTTCAATGAATAACAATAGTGATTTTATTACATTACCTTAATACCTTAATTATTACTTATAACTGCAGTTGCATGTAAATACTAATTCCATTACCTGGTCATATTATATATTATATTATTATTATACCTGGTCATGAGGTGAGTAAGGTACGTGTATTTTGTAGGTAAAAGAATTTAGGAATATCTCACCCGAGGTTCAGTAAATGTTGAACCTTCTGGCAGCTGATCCTTCAACACTCGCAAAGCCAGCGCCATTCGAACCTGCGACAAGAAAACATGGTGTGCCAGTACATTTACCAAGATAATCTTCATCTTCCACTGAAATCTAGGCTTGCAATTCTTTATGAAACGTAAGCACCATGGGCTAAGTTAATCATCTGCGACTATCAATATGTGGTATAAGGCATTGGCCTTGTTGTGCGCAGCTTCAGTATACGAGGCAGTATTTGCTCACACAGCTAGACTATCATGAATCGGTAAGTTTACGTCATCACAATAACAAAACTCACACTATGTAAAAACATATAAAAAATGTACTTGTCTAGGTAAACTGCTATATTACTCTCAACAATGTGATATGAGACTTATATCGTATAAACAAAAGAGTCACTCATAATAACAGCCCCCCTAGCTGTGCTTTTTCCTGCCTTCCTCTCTTCTCAAGTGCTGTGCCAGTAGCAATATAGCTGTTACCTTGTACATAAGCTTGATGTACTTGACATGCTCAGTCAGAAGGCCTAGTTCTAGCATACTCGAAAATATGCCAGACATTGTGTGTGCGACACACCCACCGCTAGACAGATATGGGCTGGAATGCACATGAAGTGAATGCATATTATATTACATCATGGACTGAATGAAAACAAATTCAAAATTAATACGGTTTCATTCACTCTACGTACAAAACCACATGGGCATTATGTGTAAAAGTAACCAGCTGGGGCTCCCTCTGGATGATTTAAAGTTTGAACCAAGACTCGAGCCACCAAAGTATTTTTTAGTCACCAATGTAAACCTATAACCATTGTTCACTTTATTGTATGTGCTAAGCAAGGCATAAACAGGTGATGGGTATGAGAAGAGATGTACGAAAACATTTTATTATAGCTAGTTCTAGCATACTCGAAAATATGCCAGACATTGTGTGTGCGACACACCCAC